GTCCAGTGGTTCAAGAGTTATGGTCGTTTTTGTAGGTTAACAATATATTTGCAAAAAAATTAAAAATGTGCAGATAGTGTATATTAAAAGATTTAAGTACTAGGCTTTAGCAGTAATCCAAATACAAAGCATTGAAGAAGACATTCTATAATTACTGACAGCAGACAATAACAAGTTGGTAAGAGTAATAAGAAAGAGAAAAAACTACAAAGTGAGAAAAGGACAAAGAAAACATATAGCCAAACTAACAGAATTATCTGAAAATGCTTCTAAAGTCTTATTACTATAGTGCTTGAGAAGTAAAAGAGCAAAGTCAATATATATTCTACTAAACTAAAATAGAAATCAAAAAAAAACAGTATTAATTATGTTTACAACTAAGTAAGACATAAAGACAGCCTAATTAAAACTAATCATGTACAACAATTTTTAAATATACTGGATAAATAAAAGAAAAAAAAAGCCAAAAAGAAAAGGAAGCTTCAAAGATAAAAGAAGAAGAAGTTAGAATAGATTAAGCCAAATCTCTAATATAGAAGAAGAAGAAGAAAGTAACAGTCTAAGACACAATATAGAAAATCAAAGAAGATATAGAAGTATAGATAATAAAAAAGAAGAAGGCTAGAGATGTAGTAAACTAGTGAAGTGATCAGGTTGTCAATCTTCTAAGTAGTAGGTTAGGTGTTTAAATCCTATTGATGATGAAAATTTGGATAATTACCTATGTAATATTTGTATTATGCCAACTGTTATTAATGATTAAGTTAGAATATCTGTAATGATAGTTACACTAGCAAGACTGACAGATTATGGGGCATTTGTGCAATGTTAAAGTTATACAGAAGAATGCAAACTGACAAATCAGATAGTGCAAACATTAAATAAGTTCTTGTGGCTGTGTAAATCTGTTGAAGTTGGATAATAAAAAGTTTATTTAGAAAGACCAAATAGAAAGATAGCTGAATTTTTGATGGCTTTACTGTAAAGGCTAGCTTAGTAAAACAGATACCAAGGTCTAGTACCTGGTTGTAGTAGCTGAACAGGCAAGAACCTCCAGATTGGAAGTCTTAAAGGTACTACTAACCAGACTATCAAAATGAACTAAAGAAAAAAAATGTTAGGCCAATCTAATATACTAATGGACTGGTCATAATCCTATACAGGTTATCTGAATTAAGTATTTGATAAAAAGACAGAAAAAAAAGCAGGAGTATACTAAAGTATTAGGATTATGCTGTAAAGTAAATGCTAAGATCTAAATAAACTTTACAAAAGCATAGTGGTTTAATAGTTAAGCCCTAATTGCAAGTGTTGGTTCTGCTATAGTAATACCTTGATTAGCTATAAAAATAAATACAGAAGACTCTAAGAGGTTTATCTTGAGAATAAATTAGTCCTAAAGCTAAAATGATGATCTGAATATTTGGATATGTTCTAGTAAGTTAATACAGTTTATAGATTCAGAGGTTTAAATTAGAACACCCAAGCAGGAGTGTTAAATATAGCAATTGGTAGGAAATCTTTAGCCAAATTCCTTAAATAGGTAATATAGAAAAGTTATACATATAGCCAATTGTACACTTTTCTAAAATGATTTATTTATATTTTTTTTTTTCGGTATTAAGGTGACCTCTTTGGTCTGAGCTTTTTTATTAATACTTATACTATTACATATTTATATAGACATATCTATAATGAACTATTAGACGAGTGTACAGCTGGCTACACGTGTAACTTTTCTATATTACCTATTTAAGGAGTCTGTCCAAGGGTTTCCTACCAGTTGCCGTACCTAACACCCCTGCTTAGATGTTCTATTTAAACCCTCTGATCTAACCCTAGTATTAATTTTACCAGGTCATAGACCCAGATCTATTTGCTATTAACTATAGGACTATAATCCTTAGACTATTTTTATCCTCGAGACAAACCTACCAGAGCGAGCCGTATTCCTTTTTAATGCTAACCTGGTTTGACACTATGATCGGGGCCAACACTTGCAGTCAGGGTTATCTCTTAAACCGCTATTACCCTTGTAAAGTTCACCCAAACCTTGGTACCCATCTTTTTGACTTCTTCTTTATTATCCCTTACTAGCTGCAACTCGGAACTAACTGACTCCTCAGACTCCCAATCCAGATGGCCCGGTATGGTATACTTATATATCCTTTTCCTTCAGCGATTCCGGTGACCTGGTTGGTCATATGCTCCTCTATATATCTTTGTCATCCGGTTTATCCGACAGTTCCTATGAAGGTGTTTCATGGGCTTCCATTAGTCCAATAGCATCATTGAAAGTTTGTGCTACCTCTTTACTCAGGATTTCCAAGTGAGTTTTCGTCTTTTCAGTTTCTTAGCCTTCTATGCCCGGTGGTCTTATCGTAGGTTTGTCTGAAGCCTTATATGACACTGGTTTTATATTTCTCTATGTACATGTACCATTAGGGTGTGAAATAACATAACAAATACAAACATAGTGAAGATCACATAATAATTGTTACTAATCAAATTTTTTCCGATGATCTGCAGCTGGAGACCCGATATTTCCGATAATAGTGATAATTCAAGTACAGAAGTAGCGGTGGAATATTATTTAAAAAAAATTTTTTTTTAATTCAAATATGGTTAGGTCAGAATTATTAGTTACTATTTAATTGGATCAGAACAACTATAAGTCATAAAAATTTTTTTTATTTATTAATTCTATTAGTCATGATTTAATTGGGATCAGAACAAATACTTTTTTATTAATTGAGGCCAGAACTATTAGTCACAAAGGTTTTTTATTTATTATTTATTATTTTTTATTTAATTGGGACCAGAACTATTGTTCACAATGATTTTTATTTAATTGAGCTAGAACTATTGCTCACAATGATTTTCTTTTTCATTAATTAAAGCCAGAACTACTCACGATTATTTTTTTTTTTTAATTGGGGCCAGAACTACCACTTATGATAATTTTTTATTTAATTAATCTTTTTATTTAATTGGGGCCAGAACTATTGCTCATGATAATTTTTTTTAATTTAATTGGGGTCAGAACTACCGCTCATGATGATTTTTTATTTAATTGAGGCAATTTTTTTTAATTTAATTAGGGCCAGAACTACCGCTCATGATGATTTTTTATTCATTTGTGGCCAGAACTACCGCTCGCGATTATTCTTTATTTAATTGGGGCCAGAACTACCGCTCATAATGATTTTTTATTTACTTGGGGCCAGAACTATTGCTCACAATAATTTTTTTTAATTTAATTGGGGCCAGAACTACCATTTATGATAATTTTTTATTTAATTGAGGCCAGAACAACCACACATGATGATTTTTTTTATTTAATTAATCTTTTTATTTAATTGGGGCCAGAACTATTGCTCATGATAATTTTTTTAATTTAATTGGGACCAGAACTACTGCTCATGATGATTTTTTATTCATTTGTGGTCAGAACTACCGCTCGCGATTATTCTTTATTTAATTGGGGCCAGTACTACCGCTCATGATGATTTTTTTATTTACTTGAGGCCAGAACTATTGCTCATGATAATTTTTTTTAATTTAATTGGGGCCAGAACTACTGTTCATGATGATTTTTTATTTAATTAAGGCCAGAACAACCACACATGATGATTTTTTTATTTAATTAATCTTTTTATTTAATTGGGGCCAGAACTATTGCTCACGATAATTTTTTTTAATTTAATTGGGACAGAACTACCGCTCATGATGATTTTTTACTTGGAGCCAGAACTATTGCTTACAATGATTTTTTTTAATTTAATTGGGGCCAGAACTACCGCTCATAATGATTTTTTATTTACTTAAAGCCAGAACTATTGCTCACAATGATTTTTTTTTAATTTAATTGGGGCCAGAACTACCGCACATGATAATTTTTTATTTAATTGGGGCCAGAACTACCTCACATGATGATTTTTTATTTAATTAGGGCCAGAATTACCGCTCATGATAATTTTTTATTTAATTGGGACCAGAACTGCCACTTACGATTGTTCTTTATTTAATTGGGGCCAGAACTACTGTTCATGATGATTTTTTTTACTTAACTGAGGTTAGAACTACTGCTCATGACAATTTTTTTTATTTAATTGGGACCAGAACTACCGCTCACGATAATTTTTTATTTAATTGTGGCCATAACTATCGCTCACAATTATTTTTTTTTTAAATTAAGACTAGAACTACCGCTTACAATAGTTTTTTTTTTATCTAATTGGGACCAGAATTATTACTTATGATAGTTTTTAATTTTAATTTATTAGGACCAGAATTATTACTTATAATGTTTTTTAAATTAGGGCTAGAACTATTATTCATAACAATTTTTTATTTAATTAAGACTGGAGATATTGGTCACAGAAGTTTTTAATTGATTGGGGCCAGAATTATTGCTCACACTAGTGTTTTTTATTTAATTGGTGCTAGTACTATTATTCATGATTGTTTTTTATTTAATTTTGGTCAGAACTATTGCTTATAATAATCTTTTTATTTAATTAAGGCCAGAACTAAGTCTTATTTAATAGAGAATTTAAAAATGACTTAGCTGCCTCTATTCTGGTATTTTCATCTTTTTTTATATTATCTTCATAATTTGATATCTTTTTATTCTTTAATTTTTCTCGAATTTCTTTAATTTTAGATGTCGTAATGGATTGTATTTTTTGTGCAGGTGCTGCAAGAATAAGTCTTGTTTCTTGTAGATTCATGCTTATATTTGGATGTACTTTTAGATCATAGCGATTAAACATCCCCTCAAGCTGTTGTTGATAAACTACAACACTCCAGATTCAATATTTTACAAAGTCATATATTAATGGAAAATTATAAAGCATTATATCAGGCGAGTTTGCATATTTTATAAACTCTTTTTTAAATTCTATATCTTCTAATGCTTTTAATAATCCCCAAGTATTAGATAGTCCTTCTTTTTTATCATTATTTAGAATCTCAATATAATTTATTTCTAAATTAGATTAAGATTCTTGTAATTTAGTATTAGTATATACTTTAAGAAATGCACTTGCGAATAATGATCCATTTGAGCCTCCTAATGCGCAAACAAGTAATGGTAAATGTATCCATGGTGTCATCCATTTACAAAATCCTTCATATGCATTTTTTAAGCCAGACTTCAAAGATACATAAAGGTTTTGATATTCTTCAACATTTAAACAAGAATTTGCTTCTTTGAGTTCTTCTTCAAATAATTCTGTTATATTTTCTTGTGCATTTTTTATGTCTTTAATCCATTTTAATACAGCATTAGGCATTTCATAAGCTCTATAACCAGCAGGAAGGTTTTTTATACCTTGTTCAGTATAAATTCTAGGAGTTGAATCATATTATGTTACAAATTCATAGATAGGAAGATAAAATTCAATACCAAATTTTACAAGACATTTGACTTGTATATTTAATTTCTTATTTTGTAACCATTCATTAAATAATCTCCATTGAAATATATAAGTTTTTGGAACATTTTTAATTGATTCAAGTTGTGGAAGAAACCAATTACAAAATTTAATATGTGCATCCTGTCTTGATAAATATTGTTGTGCTGTAATTAATTGATATTTTCATCTTGTTGAAATAGGTTGTTGATATTTGTTAAATGTATAATTTAAAAGTTTTTTATATAATTCATGAATATGTTCTGATCTTAAATTCATAGGATTATCTTTATCAGTTATACCATATCCATCATGAATTTTAAAAGCCAAATTAATAAGATTAAATGGATGTTTTTTATAAGATCCTTTAGGGCCATCTATTTTTCCAAAAGTATTGTTTTCAAAATTCATTAAAGCAATTTGTGTTGCATGTAATGCACAGGGAATTCTAAAAGATGTAGATTGAGTTAAAGTATTAAATTTTACAATAGCACCATTTTTGTTTGAAGACATATATGATGTATTGTCTGTTAACCAAAATATACATCTTTTAGAATTAATATTATTGTTATTACAAATTTTTGTAACACTAGATGCAACACTATTAGAATTGCAATGCAATAAATCATCAACTCCTAATATACTAAACATGGGATAATTTGTTTCTATATTCCAAAAAGATGTAGCAACTACTAAAATTTTTCTTTCTCCTCTTTTACTTTCATCTACTAATAATCCATAACCATAATTTGATATATCATATAATTTAGGTTTATTTAAATCAAGCTGAAGAGCTGCAACTTCTTTATTCCATCTTGATAATGTATTAGCTTCAATCCATTTTTCAGGTTCTTCTCCAGTAATAAATTCATAAAATTTTTTAGTGCATGTTACTGTTGATCTTAAAGACATTTGTCCTAAATTACTAATTTCTGTAGCCATTTGCAAAAATTGAACTGAATATTCATTTTTAGATTTAAAAAGTTTTTTTGCTGATTTTTTAAAATTTTCTGGAGTTATATTTTTAGCCTTTTGAATCACAGATCTAATTTTTGAAATATGTTGAGTTTTAGCTTTTTCTTTACTTGTTACAGTTATTTTAAGTGATTTTATTTGCTCTTTTGATTCTTCTAATTCTTTTTGAAGTTTTCTATTTTTGCTTTCTAATTGTTTAATTTTTTGAGTTAAAGAAATTGCATCTGATTCATGTTTATATAAAAATTTTTCTAAAAATTTTAGAATCTTTTTTTGATAATATTCTGAAATAAGTTCTCCTTGATGTTTTCCTTTTGTATATATCATATTATTTAACATATAAATTGCTCTTGAAAGTTGATATTGAGGAATACTATTTATTTTTGAATATAATTCTTGTCGCAATTTATATTCAATCTCAGTTAGATATTGTAATTCTTGAACTAAATCTTCAGATTCTGATGCAGAATCTTCAGATTCAAATTTTTTAGATTCAGACTCAGATAAATCATAAGGAATATATATTGCATTAAAATTTTGTTCTAAATTTGATTCTGATTCTATTTCAGTATCAATATTATTTGTTACTAAAGAAGAATCATTGGAATATTTTAACTTTTTTGCCTGACGAGCTTTTTTTAAATGAGTATTTCGCTTTTTGGGTATCATTTTAATTATAAAAAAATAAACAAATAATTTTAAATTTTGTAATTTATTTACATAAAACAAACCAATAAAATACTTTGTTTACATTTTAATAATAACTATTTTAAGTAAAATAAACAAAATAATACTCGATAATATAAAATTAAATAAACAAAATAAGGCTATACAAACTTAATAAATCGGGTTTCATAACATAAAATTTTAAGAGTAACCTGGCAACCCGGCTTTTAATTTTATTTTCAAAAAATTAAATATATAAAAAACATATAAAAAAGCTCACCCGGATAGTAAATATACTTGAAATTTGTTTTTAGAGTTTTGTAAATTTTGACCTGGCCAGGTTATGAAAACCGATTTATTAAGTTTGTATGGCCTAATACTTGATAATATAAAATTAATAAAAAAATATTGTAACTAATATATAGCTCTGACCCTAATTAAATAGCTAGGTTTATTTGAGGCCTTTCAGGATATACTTTTATAGTCTCTAATAAAAAAACTCATTGTGGATAATAGTTTTGACCCTAATTAAATAAAAAAATTTATTATAAACAATAGTTCTAACTCATAAATTAAACTTAAAAAAACCTCAATGACTAACAGTTCTGATTCAATTAAATAAAAAAAATTCATTAATCAAAAATTATTATGAGTAATTGTTCTGGCTCCAATTAAATAAAAAAATTATCACACATAATAGTTTTGGTCCCAATTAAATAAAAAAATCTTCATGAGTAATAATTCTGGCCCTAATTAACTTAAAAATTATCATAAATAATAGCTCTGGCCCAATTGAATAAATAAATTATCATGAGTAATAGTTCTTGCTCAATTAAATAAAAAATTATCGTAAGTAATGGTTCTGGCTTCAATCAAATAAAAAATCATTGTGAGCAATAGTTCTGGACCAAATTAAATAGAAAATCATCGTAAGCAGTAGTTCTGGCCCCAGTTAAATAAAAAAATTATCATAAGCAGCGGTTTTGGTGCTAATTAAATAAAAGAATCATTGTGTGTGCAGTCATGAGCAGTAGTTCTGGCCCTAATTAAATTAAGAAAAAATACTCATAAACGGTAGTTCTGGTCCAAACTAAATAAAAAAATTATCGTGAACACTAGTTTTGCCCTAATTAAATAAAAAAAAAATATCATAAGTAGTAGTTCTGGCCCCAATTGAATAAAAAATCATTATGAGCGATAATTTCAGCCCTAATTAAATAAAAAAATAATCATGAGCGATGGTTCTGGCCTCAATTAAATAAAAAAAATCATTGTGAGCAGTAGTTCTGGCCCTAATTAAATAAAAAAAATTATTGTGAGCAATAGTTCTGGCCCCAATTGAATTAAAAATAATCATGAGCAGTAGTTCTGGCCCCAATTACATTGTAAATAAAAAAATAATTGTGAGCACCCCAATTAAATAAAAAAATAATTGTGAACACCTGATTAAATAAAAAAATAATCGTAAGCACCCCAATTGAGTAAAAAATCATTGTGAGTGGTAGTTCTGACTCCAATTAAATAAAAAAAGTAATTGTAAGTAGTAGTTCTGGCCCCAATTATATAAAAAATTTATCGTGAGCAATAGTTCTAGTTCCAATTAAATAAAAAATCTTCATAAGCAATAGTTCCGGCTCAATTAAATAAAAAATAATAATCATGAGTAGTAGTTCTGGCCCCAATTAAATAAAAAAAAATAATTGTGAGCAGTAGTTCTGACCGGGGACACACATATTATTTATAAATTTCCAAATTTGTATAAATAAATTTCAAAGTTTTGCGTGTCCTTAGTTCTAACAATTAAAATCAAATAAAAAAACACTTTATAACTAATAGTTCTGGTTCAAACATTATTAGGATTAAATAAAAAACTATAGAAAGTATTTGTGACTGATAGTTCTGGCCTAAATATATTGGAGTTAAATAAAAAAAAATTATTTGTTATAATATATGTACTTGAAACAGATTATATGATTGGCTGATTTATGATTGACAATCATAAATACGTATCGGTATATCGTAAAAAACATATCAATGTAAAATTCAAATTGAAATAACTTTTGAACTACTGAAGATATACAAGTAAAATTACCGTTATTGAATTTCTCTTAACATTCTCTTTAAAGTAATAAAGCGCTTTTTTTTATTGTCATAAAACTAATCATGGTTTAGTAATTAGTTTTTATTTTAACTTATATGAAAAATAAAAAAAGAGCTCTATTACTTTAAATAGAACATTAAGAGGAATCTCAAAAATATAATTTTACTTGTGTTTCATAAGTAGTTCAGGAGTTATTTCAGTTTGAAAGTTTATATGTTTTTGCTATTATGAAAAATGATCGACAAAAAAATTTGTATAATTGAAATTACTATATGATCTTCACTATGTTTGTAGATCATATAGCATTTCACACCCTAATGTACCATGTAACATTACACTTCGCATAGATGCCCCGAGCTCCCAATGTCAGGTGGGACCTGACTTGGTGTACCTAAGATTACAGATGCCCAAAATCCAACCGATCGGCAAGAGACAGTTACTGTAACATGGGTATAATTTCCAAAATTCGTTGTCTGTGGGAATTGAACCTTAGACCTGCCACTTGAGGGTTGACAACCTAGCTACTTCACTAGGTCGCCACACTCTATTTTCTGAAATGATTTATTGAATCATAATACTAATAAGTAATTAATAAAAGTCAAAAGACCAAAGAGGTTATCTTAATACTAAAAAAAAAAAAGATAGTCTAGAAAAAAGAAAAAATAAAGACAAGATGTAATAGCAAAAAAAAAATACATATATAGAAAATATGCTAGGCTGAATTTTAAAAAGACTAGAAAAACTAGAGAAAATAAAGAACCCAACAGAAGAAGCTATAGCAAAACACTTCTAAAGGCATCTTAGTTGAATTAATAAGCATAGACAAGAAGATTAAAGAGTTTTTGTATAGTAAAAGAAGAATTTTTAAAAAAAGAAATATAGATACATCTCTTGGCTATAATGAGAAAACAAAGAAAAAAGAAAAAAAGAAAATAGAAAACATAAAAATAATGCATAAATGTCTAAAAGAAAAATAGAAACAAAAAAAGAAAAAAATAAAAATTGCATGCTACAATATCAATAAACTTAAAACAAGAGAATAGAAAGTAGATAACCTCTTAGAATAGGCTAAAAAAGAAGAATTCACAATAGTGGGAATAATGAAAACAAATATTACAAAAAAAGAAAAAAAATTTTTACTGCATAGTTATAACATACAGTATAAGAGATATTGAATTAGTGCAGTAATAGATAAGAAAAAAGGTTCAGGCATAGAAATACTAATAGATGAAAAGTAGAAAAAATATGTAAAAGCAGTTAAAAAAGTTAGTGAATACATGCTAAAGGTAAGATAATATTTTAAACAATTAGAATTAGTGATATTAAGAGTATACATCTTACCAAATGACAAATTAATCAGTAAGAAAATTCAGCAAAGAATCATAAAGGTAGTAACAAACAGAAAAAATATACAGAAGTAATTATACTTAGTAATTTTAATTACACAGTAGATAACATACTAGACAGACAATATCTGCAAACATCAAACTACAAAAAACTACTAATATTTAGCTAATTTAGAAAACAAAATTTCACAGATTCAGGTTGTCAACTCTTCAAGTGATAAGTTGGATGTTTAAATTTCATCAATAATAAAAATTTAGATAATCATTTATATAATATTTGTATTATAGCAACTGTTACTAATAATTAGGTTAGAATACCTATAATGGCAATTGCATTAGTATAACTGGCAGGTTATAAGGCATCTGTGCAATTTTGGAGTTATACAGAAGAATGCAAACCAACAAATCAGGCAGTATAAACATTAAATAAGTTCTTGTAGCTGTGTAAATCTGTTAAAATTAAGTAACAAGAAGTTTATTTGAAAAGACTTAAGTAGAAAGGTAGCTAAATCTTTGACAGCTCTACTGTAAAGGCTAGTCTGGTAAAACAGATACCAAGGTCTAGTATCTGGTCATAGTAGCTGAATAGGCAAGAACCTTCAGATTAGAAGTTTCAGAGATACTACTAAACAGCCATCAGAACAAACCAGAAAAAAAAAATATTGGGCTGACCTGATTATACTAATGGACTGGTTATAGTTTTATATAGGCTATCTGAATTGGAAGTTTGATAAAAAGGCAGAAGAAAAGACAGAGATATACTAAAATACTAGGGTTATGCTGTGAAGTAGATGCTGGGATCTAAGTGAACTCTACAAGAGCACAGCAGTTTAATAATTAAGCTCTAATCGCAAATATTGGTTCTGTCATAGTAATACCTAGATCAGCTGTAAAAATAGATACAAAAGGCTCTGAAAGGTTTACCTTGAGGATAAATTAGTCCTAAGGCTAAAATGATGATTTGGGTATTTAAGTATGACCCAATGAGTTAACACAGATTACAGGTTCAGAGAATTTAAAATAAAACATCCAAGCAGAGATGTTAGATATAGCAATTAGTAAAGAACTTTGGGCAGATTTCTTAAATAGGTAATATAAAAAAGTTATACATATAGCCAATTGTATGCTCTTCTGTAGTGGTTCATTGAACCACAATACCAATAAGTGATTAATAAAAGTCAAAAGACCAAAGAGGTTACCTTAAAAAAAAACAAAAAAACTTACAGATTTATAATAGTTAAGTTAGAAGACAGCAACAAGAATAAATTATATTTGGCTATTAGAAACACTAGTATCAGGTTTACAAAAAGCTAATATTAAAGAAGCAGAA